CATAGTTACCGAATCAGACCGTTTGGTTACCGAATCAGACGTCGACCAGACCTTGTGTTCAACCTTCAGACCTGTCTTGTGGCAGGTGCTGGCACTATTGCATGTGCGATTGCGCGGACCATGACCATAGCAGGTGACGGCTTGAACCATCAAGGCCAGCTGAGCAAGCCAACTTAATAGCAATGGGGCCTCCAATCTACTGCCTCCAAGGTTCAGTTTCAACCTGAGCCTCCGTCTTTGGTTCGCACTCATTGTCGTCAGCGCGGCCCCTCCGCAACTGTTGGCGTGACCGGAGCGTCAGGTGGAATTGCCATTGTCTTGAATGCCAGCACACTCGAGACTTGACAAATCCAGGGTGGAAAGAATAGAACGCTGCCCCCACCCCGGTATGAGTCAAGCCAGTTTAGTCTTCGTTCCAGGATCCTTTCTTCATAAATCTCAAGCATGTTCAACTTGTTTTAAATGAGATAGTATACGTACACCGTACATCATTACATCCTAGGTCCTAGATGTGGTTGGACTAGCTTCTCCCAGGGAAATCCAAGGAATAAAGCCACAAAGACCAAACATGGAATAACTAAATAACTAGTAGCTTCAAAGACATACTAATAGCCAATAGCGTCCTCGCTCCTAGTAGTAATGCCAGGAGCTACTAGTAGCTTTTGGCTCCTAGTAGCGATGCCCTTTGTTCCTAGTAGCTTCTTGTTACTAAGAAGCTTCAAAGACACACTAGAAAGCTTCTTGTTACTAGTAGTATTGGCCTCCACCCTAATAGCGATAGCCTCCACCTAGTAGCTTCTTGCTACTAGTAGCTTCTTGTTCCTAGCTAATCACATACTAAGTCTGACTCTCCACACGCATGTGTTCTGTGAGACACCCTAGTATGGCTGACAATGACTGAAAGCCAAGGAGCTGATCACCAACTACGGTCAAACAAGCGGCCATTCCTTTGCCAACTCCTTACAAGTCTCCAGCAAGGACCGCCGGCCAACAAGCCGCGGACCTTGACTTGAAACAAGCCGCACAGCCAGTGCCTTGATTACTATATATTACTATTACATTTTTTCCTGATCATGATATGCAAGCGAAGAGTACAAGTCATGGAATCAGGAGAAAATTACACAGATTTCAAAAGATGTCGCTCAGCACGGAGCAACAACAGCCACCCTCACAAACAGCTACACCAATAGTGTGTCAGTCTTGATATTAAAGTTCCTACCTGAACTACGAACCAAGTCCCTGTGTTGTATGATGACTGCAGATGTTATTTTTGCTGATTCCGACCATCACATGCTAGTCTTGATTCGATGCTCCGGTTGGTCAGGAGGGCTGGTATCTTGGCATGGACCTGGGTGACAACTACCCTCGAGGAGTTAATCTTTGGGATGCTTGGCCAGTTTCAGGATCCATCCACAAGTGTTTTCCCCGGCGAACCACACACTTCTTTATTTCTAGTAACAAGAAGCGCAAGAAGCTACTAGGGGCTCCTGGCCGTACTACTAGGAGCAAGAACGCTACTAGTAACAAGAAGTAAATTTGGTGCTTTTGACGAGGGAGCAAGTCGAAGCAAAGCAACTCGGAGGTTCTCACCACCAGTGACTCACAGTGGTCCCGATTTGGAAGGACGGCCTTTCCGAATTAGGGCTCCTGGCTACTAGCTTCTTTTTGCTATTAGGATGGAGGCCATTGCTGTTAGGAGCGATCGGACGCTGGCCTTACTACTAGGAGACGAACGGAACAAGGGGCATCGCTACGAACAGAGCGATCGGATGCTGTTGGACCGCCTTGCCGTCACCGGCGATGGCCCATCCGAGCCAAGGAGTTGAAAGGTGACTCGAGGAGTTGGCGAAAGAAGTTGGTCTATACTTTTAAGACCAAACATGGTACTTCTCCAACCAGTCCAGCCGGAGCAGCATATCCGGAATACACCGCAATTTCCACAGCCCAGCAAACGCGCTTTGGAGGAATTTGGTGGTGATTTTTGGTTTTTCTTCCTGTGGTAAAAAGAACTAAAGAGGTGGCTCGGTGGCCCTGTTTTGTTTGCTTTGTAGAGATGGCCTCCAACCTAGTAGAGATAGCCTCCAACCTAGTAGCGATGGCCTCCAACCTAGTAGCGGTGGCATCCAACCTAGTAGCCATGCCTCCAACCTAGTAGCCATGCCTCCAACCTAGCAGCGATGGCCTCCAACCTAGTAGCCATGGCCTCCACCCTAGTAGCCATGGCCTCCAACTTAGTGGCGATGGCCTCCACCCTCCTCCACCCTAGTAGCCATGGCCTCCAACTATGGCCTCCAACCTAGCGATGGCCTCCAACCTAAAATGGCTGGTTTGAGAGATGCTCAAGAACTTAGTGAAGTCTATGTTGAATTCCGCGAGCTCACTATTATATCCAGCGCAGCAGAGAACTCTTAAAATGCGAAAGCCTCGAGAGCCTGATAAAGCTGTGAGAGTAACTCTTGTGAGGTACTACCAGTGGAGCAATGACAACTATCTCTACACGGAATTGGCACATCCCGGTCTTCATGAAGTGGATGATACCGTGCTGGTCTTCTTCGCTGGAGAGAAGCCGCCCTTGGACAATTCTCTGGTGGGCAAGGCAATGAACGTCGCACGCAATGCCTGGAGCCCCACACAAACAGGGTGAAACCCACACAGCCACAAGGTAGTTTGTAGCCCATGAACAGCTTTATCGTCTAGAACCTAAGTTTGCCAAGAAACCTCCATGTATACTCATACTCCATCTATACTCTTGCGGCTTTTTAGCACCTTTGAGACAGGTTGACAGCTGCTGAGATGCTCAAGCATTTTCATAGCTCGTTTGGCCTCAAAGACTCAGGTTGCTTGGGTGAAGATCTCTCGGGATTTGCAGAATAGCTCAGTCTTATCCCCGGGCGAGGACGCATACGCTGCAACTCGCAATTTGATGCATGTTCCAGCTTGAGAGTGTTGCGGGACGTCAACATGCGCCATGAGAGTATTGCAAGTATGGTGAATTCACTTCCGCATGCAGCGTGAGCAAGAACATTGACCATGGGGATTCGGAAGCACCCCAACTCGGTGCAACACCTCATGGTGTGTTCACATGACCCACCGAACCGTTTGCGTTGGCTCGTTGTGTTTGTCAGGAGGAGATTGGGGGCTTCTACACCTTTGGTGGTTCGTTTTCTGAGCAGACGAACCGCGGAATCAGCTTCCTGACATCCTACACGGAGCGCCGCGCACATCTGGCAAGATAGACACAACATCCGATGTCTGAGAGATTGGTGTAAAGAAACACCGTTTAGAGAATGTAGATTTCACCTGATTTCACTTTGCTGGTTTACTGTCTTGTTTACTTCTACTATTCGATGAGAACATGCACATGTGGGATCAAGTGAGTGGATTCTGTGCGGGGGATCTGGCTGGAAGCCACAAGCGTGGACCCTTGAAAAGTGAAGATTTTCCTGACTGACTTGAATCCGCTTGTTCCAGGACCTGTCCCAAAGTGTAAGCCGGTTGAAGACGGCAGCAATCAACGGGCAAATTGTGCTGCTTTGGGAAATATGGTCTTCCTCTTCATACAACAGGACTGTTCGCCCGATTGTCTAAGTACCCAAGGATCGCCAAGTGTCAATAGTGTGTGGTCTTGAATTCCTGGCCGAGCAAGTGGCTTGCAACCACACCACAATCCTCATCCATGGATGACTATGGGCATCTATTGGATGTATTTCGATATCCGTGAAGCCAACTTAGTGCTTTGAGTGCTTCGTACATCTTTGTACCTTGTTTGCCACCTCAGCCAGTCTGTTCAGGACAGAGTTTATGGTCATTGACACAAAAGGTCAGATCCAAGGATCTTGGCCCTTAACGTCACTTAGCTTTCCGTTTGAGCTTCCCTTTGCGGACGATGTGGTGGTCAAGAACGGCAGAGTGGTGACTTACGTTGCCAGGTTGCATTTTGTGCCGGACACTGAGAGAAGACTACTAGTAGCGTCCTTGTTACTAGTAGTAAGGCACTTGTTACTAGAAGCGATGCACTTGTTACTTACTAGTATCTTGGTGCATGCAGATGACCGTACCCTTTGTCCAGGGTGTACCGCTAGGAAGGGCACGTTACACGTCGCGACCGTCGCGATCGTCGCGAATCGATTCTGACACATCGCGATGGAACGCCAACTGCGGCTGCACTGTTGTATACTGTTGTGCTCTCTTCGGCCCTGGAAGTCATGTGAGAAATCCAGAGACTTTGCATGTGTAGTTCACTTCTGGAAATGGGCAGCGGGGTGAAACATGGTGAAACCATGTGATTTCTTGGGTCTTTAGCCTACAATGTATTTACTGTGAATGTTTTTTGATGAAGGTTCAAGCCATTCTCTCAAACAATTCATACATCCTTACAACAGATTTACGTGTTTGTTGTTGCTACCGGCGTCATTAGTGACCCCTGCGTTTCGGAGCATTTTTGCTGTCTCGAAGGACTTCTTGACAGTGGGTGGGGGGAGGTGGGCGGGGCTAGCTACGTCGTGTTCTGGTTGTTTCACGACAGTTACGTCGTGGTATGGTTGTTGCCCGAAACATGGACCATGTTGGTTTTGTTGGTTCGGACTTGCACCGTTGCCTTTGACGGGTTCCCTACGTCGGCTTCGGTTGTGTTTTGGTGGTCGACCTGGTTCTTTGTGTTTGTTACATGAAGCCGCGGCGCTGAGCTGTTTGGGTTGTATTTGGTGGTTCTGTTGCGGTTGGTTAAGGTACCTTGTCCGGAGCCTCTGTTGAATCTGTGGCTTGAAGTGGACATTGATTATGTTAATTCTTTGATTTCTCTAGCAACTAGACACACGGGACCTCTTGACAGTTTTGTGTTGGACACGGTTCTGGACCCGGATCGTTGGACGTTGTCTTTCGAGGTTCTAGGCACCTCTCACGATCTGTTGTACTCTTCGTGGACCACGGTGTTTTGCAGTATCCATGCCAAATGCTCCACTGGACTAAACCCGCTCTTGATGAAGTACACTTTGGAGCTACCAGTTTCGAAGAAACTGTGGAAAATGGGCAAGCAGTGCCTGAAGTTCTGACTGCGTCTGCTTCACGGAAGTCAAAAGACGCAATGGACCGTTTGTCATGAAAACATGATTTCGACACGAAACACTGCGAGGGTTAATGATTTCTCTCCTCAACATACGTTGTTGTCTTCTTAAAAGACGAGGGGGGCCTAAATTCAACCAGTTGCACGTCGCAATTCCAATGTGTCTGATCTTTCTTGAGGGGCCTCGTGTTGTAAAAACCATGCAAAAATAACGTCATGAAAGTATGAATGAAACACAAAGCCCTGTGTTTTCCCATAGATTTTTCGTTTCCGGGCATGATGGAAGGTGCTAAAAATCTCCAGGGTCGTTAACAACGCCACCACCTTGTTTTTCCTTCTCCTGGGCGTACACTTTCTGGGGCCGACACCAACGACATCCTCAAACAAGCGAATCGAAGTGATCTCCAGAAGCCACTGAACATGTCGGGTGCACCCGGCAGAAGCCGAGGTTGGAACCGATGGGAGCAAGGGCTCCAGTCCTTCGCTCGCTCGTTTTGAGCTTTGCTTGGGCTCGACATGTGAACAGATCACAGGTACCACAGGCACCACAGACAGCGGCGGCGGCAGCGACGGCGGCCAGAGCACCAGTGCTGCTGGAAACTCTGGTGCCTCAGCAAAAGTGAGTGTCGTGATTGTGGAGGCCATCGCTAGTAGGGTGGAGGCCATTGCTAGTAGGTTGGAGGCCAATGCTACTGGTTTGGATTCTTCTCCTTTCCCTGTCGCACAAAGCCGCGCTGCCGGTGAGGTGTTTCCTCTACTGCTCCGAATGATGTTTCGGCGTCAGGCCGCCAGAGTTGGCTTGATTTTTTCCCTCTAAGCATTTGGCCAACACACAGTACTAAGACATCCAGGGAAAATCCGAGCTTGATCATTTTCTTCATGTGCCAACCGGGTAACTAGGGTGTGTTTATGATTTAGTTGACCGGGCCCTTGATGCTCAGGTTCAATGTCCTTGATGCTCAGTGCTGCGACGCTTTTAGCTTTCAGAGCCTTTGGGATATGACAGGTCTTTTTCCAGCCACTCGTTCTGAGTGCTCAAAAAGACTGCGAAACACTTCTATTTTCAATGATTTCGATGCTCGATCGACCAGACTGGTTTGCAAGATGAAGATGCGCAGACGGTTGAGAACGTTGCTTTAGTGAAGATGTTGGATTGTACTTTATCAGTCAGGATTAAGTGATCTTCGCCATCTGACAGATGTAGGACTCCTGGTTATAGGTTCAAGTTTGAGTTGAAGGGCTGCTTCTTCCTGGCATTCATTGCTTGATTTGACATGAGTCTGCAAACCAGTGGTGACTTGCAGTTAGGATTTGTGACTTGCAGTTTCTGATACGCGAAAAGAGCCTTTCGAAACCAATACGTAACAGGCTGTGGTAAGCCTTCCCAAGAAGTGTGAAAATGGAATTGGGGTGACCAAGGCACCCGCCACTTCTATACTCTATACAACATTTTAGCAAGCACAATACACCCTGCTGTAGACAATGGCCTGGGCCTACACGCATGCTCACCATGGACCATAAGACCATAAGATCTACCTGTGGTTGCAGACTCCACGCAGCACATGCCTGCACATACATGTTGCAGATATTCAAAGTCCTTGTGGAGGCCAGAAAACGATACGGAAGTTAAAAAGTGGCGACGGAAAGATATTGTGGACCCCGCATGTTTTGCCACATTTTGCCACTAAAAGCTCACACCTTCGTTGATGCTGGTCACCTCAGATTTTTTCTTGCGAAACCATCAACCAGGATGGCTTAAACTGGTTAATTACTTCACTTATATACAGATTGGCCAGTCAGAGTGTGGCCAGTGTAGATCTGAAGGGAGCACATTGTACTCCACAAACACTGTCATCGGAACTGGAGAAGCGTTTATTTCAAGGTTTAGCTGAAGTTGGCTGTCTTAAGCGTACAAAAATCATCAAACATCAAGTTCAGCAGTTTGGCTAAATGTTGAGTTACTGTATGTTGGAGGCCATCGCTATTAGGTTAGCTAAATTTAGAAGACCGGCAAACAAATCTATGGCGTATCTGCATCTCACCGTCCGGATTCGGACGTAAGAACGTCGAAACATCAATCTATTTCCTTTGCCCATGCATGCCGTCTACTTTTTTGGCCTTTTTTTTTTTTCGTGGCCATCCTCCTTTCTTAATTAAGGAGGCGCCTACTTAAGTAATTACTCCTAGCTACTGGACGCTACTACATATGGGCTACTACATATGGACGCAGGATAGCTCACGCTTCTTCAAGGAAGCTGTCCCCCGCCCAGAATGTGGTTCCTAGACTTTTAGGGAAAACCTGGGAGTGGAAGGCAGAGGTTCTGAGGGCGCAGGATTTGCCGATACCGGTTGGTTCCTTCCAGACACAAACCGAACGGCAGGGTTGCTGGTTGGGCCAGTATACACTTCAGGTTTTTCCAGACAGGCTTTCTTTTGGGTGTCAGCTTGCAAGCTCGCTTCAGTCCGTGTTCGGAACATGGACCCATCCAACGTGATGGCACCTCCGGCCGCTTTCGAAAAGCGGCCATTTTCCCGCTTTGCACAAAGCGGTGCATGACACGCGGCACTCCTTCCTGGGGCTGCGTTGTGGGAGTCCGCTGCGCAGTCACGAAAAGGACCGATTTTTGTCCGCTCACGAAATGGAAGAGGCATTAATTAAGTCAAGTTTACCTTGTCATCGATTGTTTCAATTATTGCGGTTTCTCAGGTGGCAACCAATCTAAAAACTATTGTTATAACTTACGTACATTACATGAATATACATGAACATATATCAACCATTATCAAGTTATTGTCCGTTCTTGTTTGACCGATGGCAGGTGAAAATTAGATATCAGTCATCAGGTTCACTGGGACTGTTAAGACCAGGTTTGTCCGAAGGCCCTCATGATCGGAGAAATGAGGATTGCTTGAATCAGTCTACAGCAGTCTACAGCAGTCTACAGCTCGGCTGAGGTTTGTTGAAGTTTTCGCGGCCGTCGTCTTGCTCTTCGGTGGCTTTCTGGAGCTGCACCACCCACATGCTTGAAAAAGCGCCGCATCGGAAGAATTCCGCATGGGAGATTGGTCATGTCGGTCTTCAAATCCGGCTTGTGGGGCTCGCCTCTTTGAACGTCTTCCCACCCGAACAAGCCTTTTTAAAAAGCACGTTCTACTTCTCTTTGGGTTGTTCTCCCTTTCCTTGCCAGGTTCAAGGGTCGTGGGGAAAAAGAACCTGGCGACTTGGGCTTTGACCCACTGAACTTGAAGAGTTTGCATCTCAGAGAGTCGAAAGTTGAGCAGACTTCGAAGTTGGTTTGACATGTTGGATGCAAATTGCTCGTCGACTCGTCTAATTGATTTCTAACGATTTTCTATCTTCACTTCTTCACTCCGCTCGCGGGGGGGTCGGGTGATCCGCATGGGTTGTCCATCCAACCCGACTGGAACAAGTCGAAACATGTCATGGAGATTCTTCTGTGAAAGAGAGAACCCTGGTGGAGCCTTGGTCAGATATTGGATAAATGGCTCCTCAAAGCTTTGAAACCCAGATGGAGAAACGGAGAGAAATGGAGAAACCCAAAGACGCTCCTCAAGATCACCTGTTTGTTCTCATAGAATTTCTGAATCTCTAGATCTTCCACCATCGTATGAGAACCAACATCAATTCTGCCTCTAGCCACCAAACAAACTCATGTTCAGGGCCATCCCACTCTTTAAACATGTTTGGCCACTACTGACCTTCAACATCCTTCAACGTTATCTAAGTCTACCATAACCTGGCGCGTCAAGGTTACCGGCCGCCCGTTGTCTCCTCCTTCTTGCCAGAGAACAGGCCACGCTGTGTTTTTCAGGAACCGACGGTGAGACTCAAAGTCCTTAGAGGACAGTAGGGTGCAAGACCGCAAGAGAAACCATTCACTTCTCTCATGGCAATTTTGGAAGATGTGTCTTCTACTTCTGCTGTGACGGCTATCGTCTGAGAGTCCCAGTTAGTCTTCTTGCCTAGTAACAAGAGGACGCTACGGCATCGCTACTAGGAGCAAAGACGCTACTAGGGGCGCTCCTGGCCTTACTACTAGTAACAAGGTTCGCTACTAGCAACTGTGTTTTGTTTTTTGCGTCGTCTTTCGTGTCCTCCATTCTTCACACACGACCAATTTGGACCTGTGAAATGTGATCCTTAGGGGTTGTTCCACTTCCACCACCCTGCCCTCAGTGCCCAGGCCCTGGATGGCTGAGGCGCCGCCTCTGATGCGTTGAAGCCGCGAGGGGTGTTGATGAAGCTGACGTATTGGTCCAGATGAGCACCTGAGCATACTATTTTCACTTGTTATTCTTCAGTTAGGAAATTATCTAATTTATTCCCTATTTCATTTCTTGATTTATTCAATATATTTCTTATTCCAAGGGATTGGGTCGTTCCTAGACCGACCCAAAATTCGCAGCAAAGAACAAAGACAATGACTGGCTTCCCAATCCCTCTTCCAATTACCTCTATAGACAAGTATTCTGAAGAACTTGAAAACCAGGAGGCTACCTCTTAGAGAGTCAACCGGAGGAGGGAATGTTTGTTGCTCGAGCATCCGATTGAGGCCGAACTCCAACATGCTCGCGTTGCAATGGTCAGGGGCGCCTAGGTACCAGGTATTTACAAATCTGTTTCCCCTTGGCGTGGCAGAATGATGTCTTTGGAGGGTACGATGATGAAGCATGAGAATCCAACCGACGAGACATTTGTTTGGGATGTTTGCGGTGTCAACTTTCTTTTCCTTCAAGCGAAGAGCTTCTTTCTTTTAAAAAAACAAGACAACACATGTCAGTTTTTGTTTGTATTTAAGATGTTGCAAACAGATTGAGTCGAGGTTGAAACGAAACTACAGCAAGGTGGCATTGCTTTCATTCTTTTCGCCCAAGGAAGCTGAAGAAATCCTCCTGATACCCAGGTCCACTTCTGTTGCAATCAAAACAGGAAGCTACCGGAGCTTGCAGGGCGTGCAGGGATTCATGAGAGAGGTCCATTGTTGGAAAGCTCCAACGCCCCACACTGGCCCCACCCAGAGCCGCAAACAAATGGTCTCGGGATTCACCATCAGTTTCAGGATTCACCAAGAACAAGGACGCTACTAGGAACGCAGGGCATCGCTACTAGGAGCAAGGACGCCACTAGGGGCTCCTTGCCTTACTTACTAGTCACCATCGGCTTCAGCCCTTTCATCTTGCTCTGCACGTATGGAATCGAATCGCATTCCAGTGTTCACCCTCCATGGGCCGTCCGGTGAGAGCTCTGCGGGTGAAGCGGGTCTTTCAGCCCAAGGAGGTCACCAAGATCTTATCATCCTTGGGAAGACAGAAAGATTGGCCAGAAGCCCTGTGGCTCTTTAATAAGCTCTTGGACACGAGGTGCGCAGCGCAGAAAGGCGACCACTTGAATGTCTATCACTTGAATGCAACCATTGATGCGTGCCAACGAGGTCTGCAGTGGCAGTTGGCATTGAGGCTGTTTGAGACAGTACCCCAGGTAGCTCGAATCGTCCCAGATGTCGTGAGCTACAATGTGACTCTCTCGTCGTGTGAGAAGGCTGGACAATGGCCATTGGTTTTATGGCTTTTAGATGCAATGTCTAAGACAGTGAGGCCAGATCCAATCAGCTACAGTACCGCTATCAGCTCCTGCGAGATGTCTGGTAGGTGGCAAATGGCACTTTTTTTGTTTCACAGGATGTCAATCTTGAATCTCTCGCAGGATAGCGTAAGCTACAGTGTAGCGATCAGCTCTTGTGCAAAGGGTGCTCAGTGGAAGCTAGCTTTAAAGCTTTTCAGTGACTGCCCAGATGCGGATGTGGTTGCTTACAACTCAGCCTTGAGCGCTTCTCAAAGAGTCACTCACTGGCAAGCAGTTCTACGCTTCTTTCACGGACTGCAATCGTCTCATCTTTCTCCCAGCCCAGCCAGCTTCAGCATTGCCATCAGCTCCTTTGAAAAGGCTGCGCTATGGCATTTGGCTGTCGATCTGCTCCAACAACACCTGTCTTCAACGAACGGCCACGCGCGGTCCGAGCCAACGAGTGCGATCATCTTCAACGCGGCCATCAGTGCTTGTGCTGGAGCAGCTCGATGGGAACTTGCGGTGGATTTATTGGGAACTTTGCCTTCAGCCAAGCTGGCAGCAGATCCTTGACGAAATTCATGGACAGATGTTGGATGCAATTCCTAACATGGACACAGCTTTGTCAGATTTGTTGATCGTTCATGCCAATTCCGAAGTTGACGTCCTGGCTCCAGTTCGCCGCCCGAAAGTAGACCAAGCCTGCAAGTGTCATTTTCAGGTCTTCCAGCCTTCAATACTGGCCAGACCCAAAGCCCAAAAGACCTTGAAAGCCTACCCCAGTCTGGTTGAGACCCTGAAAGGCAGTCTTGGGACGGACTCAAAGGCTGAAAAGAGCGGGTTTGTTTTTGGATTCGCTCTGGTCTTAGACACTAGATTCCTCTAGATCGAGCCTCCAAGTGAGGACAACCTGAGCTTCAACGGCGTCTTGGCCTCATGTCGAAAAGCCTTACGTTGGCCATGGGCCTTGCGTGTGGCGGAGTTGGCCGCTTCTCGTCGGGGCGGCCACTGCTTGGATCTTCTCGGCTGCTCGGTGTCAGACGGTGTCAGACGGTGTCGGTCGAGTGGGTGGCTTTGGGTGAGGTCTCTGAAGCGAAGGTGGAACACGGAGCAGCTTTGACACGGTTTCTGGAACATAAAGCTAGCGATGCACTTGTTCCTAATAGCTTCTTGTTACTACTAGTAAGGCACTTGTTACTACTAGCGATGCACTTGTTCCTATATTCATCAATATTCAAGATAGAAGATATGCAGGTGACCTCCGTGTGAAGTGGAGTCACTTCTTCTTGTGCAGGACTTCTGGAACCCAGTCACACGGTTGGATCCCAAAACCAGGACCTGTGAGCCAAATTTCGGCCACGTTTGGGGATCGGATCCATGTTCAATGGGGACAATCCGAAGATGAACACAATATCGACAAAAGGATACAAATGGCCAGTTGCCAGTTGTATCCAGATCTATGTGGTGTTTCCATGTGTTTTCCATCCAGTTCCCTTTCAAAACATTTCAATATGGCACAACTCTGGGAATCAGATGGGCAATGCATCAAGCATCGAAACAGCTTTGTCAACTTTGGGCGCTGTCCATTGAAACAGGTGTTCGGGCTTTTGATTGCCTTTGAGGCACCTTTTCAATCCTTTTCTGTGAACTCCAGGCTTGGATGAGCTGTTCCGCTCCTATGAGGGTCAGAACATCCAGAGCCAGTGGTTAGCACCGGCGTTTGCGGCATCTGCGGCATTTGCCATAGCTGTGAGAATTGAAGATTTGAAAGCACCTGAGATCCTTGATCAGATCGATCAGGACTGGGGCTTTGGAATCGCCTTCCCTTTGTTTCGAAAGGCTGTCAGCGAAAGCACAGATCCTTTTCGGCAAAGGTACACAATTCTTGCACTTAATGAAGCTGCATTGTGGCGCTTTGAGAAAAGGAAGCTGTGTGGGCCCGGGCAGTGGTTTCTTTTTTCGGAACGTGGGGAACGTGAGGGGTTCGGTGTCTGTGTAGCCCGTAGTATCCAGTCTGAACTCCAGACCCAGTAGTGCAGGAGATTTCTAGAGAAAAGAGTGGAGTTTTTTAGGCACGACTCCAGAGATGTTTTCCAGCTTTTAGGTTAGAGGCCATCGCTTAGGTTGGAGGCCATGTCGTCCCTCTTGTTGAGTGTTGGCGGGAACCGATGGATCGATCCAAGCGAGCTAAATCGAAGCATTTGTCCACCCAAAGCTCCCACCAGGACTGTAGCCATTCATTGTTTTTCGTACTCCTGGTGCATTTTTGGGTTTCGAGATGGGGGAACTCTACTGATTGTGCTTCAAAAAAAACTGAGCCTGACGTGGATGGAAAAGACCTTCAAACTTCTAAACCCAATAGCTTCAAAACAAGCTTCTTCATCCGCATCAGAGCTCTCAAAGAGACCTGTCCTTGTCAGAACCAGGACTTCACATTCAGAGAACTAAGCCGAACACTTTTGTTTGGCATAAATGCTTATTCTAATTTAAAGTGTTTTAAACATTTTAAGCATTGACTTTGCATTGATTGCATTTCCTTTGACTTGAACTCGCAGCTGTGGCTCTTTTTCCTTTGATTTCAGAAAGAAAGCTGCCATGCGGGCACACATCTCACGATTCGCCCACTTCAACTCTTCCAAGAAGCTGAAAGGGACACGAATCGTGCATCTTGGCTCACCAAGCCCTGTGGAGAACGTTTTTTATCTAGTGTGTAGTTGGCAAATGGATCATTGTCAGTTCCGCTGCCCTTATCTGCGTAGAATGGGCCAGAAGACTTGGAAACCCCACTCACGGAACGTCTTTGTGCAACATTTAGGTCTTTTGGTCTTTCTTTCTTCTCCCAAAGGTGTAATATATAGTCGGTAGCTTGCGGTCAACAAAAGAGACAATATACGATGTTCACCGCAGGAGCAAAAATCTTCCCGCTTGGGAAGCTTTAAAGCTGTTGGCAGAGACAGGTGACGGGCGCTTAATCCAAGCAACTTGGCCGCAGAGAACCCAGATTTTCTTACTGCTCGAGGAAGAGTTCGAACTACATGTCTTCATGATTTGCAAGACACTGTTAGTAGTAGCATTTCCTTCATCTGAGAGGTGTTGATTTAGAACTTCATTTGTAGGTCCCCAGTTCGGAAAGCAAGTACAAACCGGAATTGATGGATCAAGACATATTGGCAAGTCAAAATGCTCAACTCGTTTGATTTATATCAACGGCAAACCGGGGACTGTAGGTGGTATCCACCAACAAGCACAGAAGTGCAAACTGGTCCCTTGAAGGCTGTTTTGCTTCAGCGAGGCAGTGGTCTTCCACTTCTATGTGAGCAACCGCTTTTATTCATTCTTTACTGAAGCAGTCTACGGCATGCTACGTTTGTTTGTACAACATCAGAAATAGTCTGAACGAGATACCTTGATTGGCTACTAAAGTAGTCTGAACGAGATACTGCGACATGACCTGCTTAAGTAGTCTAAACAAGAAAGGCCTCCCACATAATAGATAGATATAGATAGTGTATTTGAGTTTAGTCATGAAGAACTACCGCCGCTCATGAAATGTTTGTTAGAGGGAGCTTAGCTTCTTTAAACTGCAGAATGGCAGTATTTGGTAGTTACTGCTCCACACATGGGATACTGGAATATCAAATACATACGCTTTGCAATGCTTGCCTATGCATAATCACTGTTCGGAGGCCATTCGCGATGGTGGACATGTGCCGGCCCGGGAGTTTACGTCATTGCTGAGCCTTTGTGCGAAAGCCAAGCACTGGGAGATGGCTCTTCAGCTGTTGAAACTTCAGTCAGCAGAAGGCCAGTCCAACATCTACAGTTTCAATGCCGCCATAGGTGCCTGCGAGAAAGCCACAAGATGGCAGCTCTCATTAACCATTTTTGCCAGCATGCCTGAAGCTGCAGTTCAACCGGATACGGTCAGCTACAATACAACCATCAGCTCCTTGCAAAAGGGCACCAAATGGCAACTTGGACTAAGCATGTTCTCTTCTATGTCCAGCGCCAGTATTCAGGCCAACACCATCAGCTTTAATGTAGCTCTTGGCTCTTGCATGAAGAGTACAGCATGGCAGCTTTCCTTGTATCTATTGGAGACGATGCCAGAGAAAGACATCCCTCCGGATGTTGTCAGCTACAATACAATCATTAGCTGCTGCGATAGGGGTCAAGAATGGACAGTGGCCTTGCAGTTGCTGGAGAGCATGCCCAAGAACAACATCCAGCCTGATATTTTTACCTACAATGCATCCATTAGCGCTTGTGCAAAGGTGGGGCAGTGGAAGCACATTTGTGGTTTGTTGCAGGCAACTACTGCTGCTTCAACACATCCAGATGCGAGAAGTTTCAATGCAGCCATCAGTGGTTTTCAGAGATGTACCCAATGGTGGCTTTCCATGCATTATTTTGAGGCTATGCCGAAAGCTCACATCAACCCAAACACCGTGAGCTACAATGCCACAATGAGCTCACTGCAGATAGGTTCAGAGTGGCAAAGATCATTGGCTATTTTCAGCGACATGGACCTCGCAAGAGTTCATGCTGACACTATAAGCTACAGCGCTGCGATCTGCTCAAGTGAGAGAGGTGGACAGTGGCAACTGGCTTTGTGGCTGTTTTTCTCAATGTTTGATGCAACGATACCTCCAAATGTTTTCAACTACACGTCTGCCATTAGCTCCTTGGAGAAGGGCGATCAATGGCATATCGCCTTCGAATTATTGAAGCAAATGCCACTTCAGAAAGTTGACCCAGACCTGATTTGCTGCAACACTGCAATCAGTTTATGTGAGAAGTCCGAGCAATGGACACTCGCTCTGGATTTTCTAAGCACCATGACTGCAACGCTTTCTTTGAAACCTGACACATTGAGTTTCAATGCGGCAATCAGGGCATGTGACAATGCTGGACAATGGGAAGTGGCATTAAGCATTTTTGCCAGCATGCGCGAAGCTGCACTTCATCCTGACACTGTGAGCTACACGGCAACCATCAGCTCCTTGCAAAAGGGCACCAAATGGCAACTGGGACTAGACATGTTCTCGTCTATGTCCAAGGGTGGTATACAGTTGAACACCATCAGTTTCAATGCAGCTCTTAGCTCATGCGAGAAAGGCTCACAATGGCAATTTGTTTTGTATTTGGTGGAGACAATGCCAGAGAAAGACATCCCTCCGGATGTTGTCAGCTACAATACAAT